ATGTTACATACAAGAAAAAAAAAATCCTACACACCACCAAGAGAAAAAAAAATCCTACCCAAAAGCCACGAAGAAAAAAAAAATCTTGCTCACAAGAAATCATCCCCCCCCCCCCCCCCCCCCTCAAAAGTTAAATGGACCGTCCCTTACTTATACGCATGGACATATCCCCGATATATCAAACAAACTGAGTGGCATTATGATCGTAAAACATTTCACAAAAATTGGTTTTCTCAAAACAAACATGCAGTCAGGAGATATTTGGTAGGTATAAATTTTTTACTGATACGAATTTATTCCGTATAATAGATTTGTACGATTTAATCAAATCACAATTCAGTATCTGGTATATAATTATATCAATTCATTGGCATTCATTAAAGAAAAGAAAGTATTCTCATAGCACAAAAACGAAACCCTTCCAATCACCGTGTCCGTTTTAGTAATCGAACAATTGAGCTCAGTTTTGATTTGTGTTAACAGATATGAATAGAAATGTGTTCTTGCAGATTTTGATCACGAGTCATCACATAATTGACTATGGACGTTTCGCTTCGGCTGCCTTGAATTAAGATGCGCATTTTTTTTAAGTCTATTGTAATTGCTTTATTATATAAATTATCCACGAAATACCTATATAGAGGATATTACATGGGTGCGCGCAAATACGGATTTTATCTTCGAGAAGGTAAAATTCGTATCTCCAAGCGACCATGTAATATTCTGTTTATCATATAATTGGTGAGAACTAGCGGTAAACTAGTGTGAGCTGCGTCGGTGTTTCTAAAGAAACAGTTGATTGTGTAAAAAGATAAATTTAACAAATAAATTTAAAAAAAATACGGTGTTAAATTTATCTTTTTACACAACTGTTATCATATAATTACATATTATGCAAATTATTTTCTTACTTCCGCTACATATATTAAACATTATCATTATATAGAGAAATCTCGAATGTGTTATTTTCACTCGTGGAAATATCAGTTTTACGAAATGGAGAAATATAGGTATTTTATAGATAATTATATGATCAATATATTTCTCAGTTTTGAAAGCATGTTTATTTTCCAAATGAAATGAATCGAAAATGAAATTAAAGGCACATTCGGAAATGCACAGGTAAATAAAAGGCACTTCAAAACATCATTATACATGCTTTCATGCCTTTCAGGATAATTTTATGGTAACCATATGCAGGTTTCCATGGAGATATGGATTTGTCCGTATCTCAAAGCTGTAGTATGCCATATTTTCAAGCCATTTATAAAAAGACGTTTTGCAACACAGCACATTTATAAAATGCAACACAGCACATTTATAAAATGCAACACAGCACATTTATAAAATGCAACACAGCACATTTATAAAATGATTATACCCTGGACGGGGGGGGGGGGGGTTAATAATAGGTTTTTGGATCGGCGGATCTGGGCCTAAAATGACACGCGGATTACGGATTTAAAGAAAAAATAGAGCGGATTGCCGGATTCTTAAAACGTACCGGATCACGGATTTATTGAAAATTTAACGTCGGATTTCGGATTCTATAATGTCGATAATCGTGACTGCGAATTTTGCCGATTGTTTACTACAAAAATATAACATAAGAAGTCACTAAGAAGGCCTTATAAACGGGCGAAACGAGACTACAGGCTATGCGCTGTGTGGAAACGTCTTCTCTGAACTTATTATGGCAAATATGGCATCAACGGGTCTCGGAATTAGCAAGAATTTATGATTTTCTTATTATCGATTGCTATCATGATTTGGGGTTCCCCCCCTAGACTAAAGACCAGTGATAACCCGAGTGCAACAATACGGAAACAGTCGAGTTTGGAGTAAACTCAATTGAATTTCGAGGACTGAATTATTCAAGGTTTACGAGTTGGATTTTCAAGTTGCATTCGTGACATTCAAAAGGGGAAAAAAAAATGAATGAAAACATCATTCGAAACATAGTCCAAAATTAGAAAAACCACCTTACTCGGACTCGGAACAAACTTGTAAACAGATGACAAATATATACACAAAATAAAACGGTTCACAATCGCTACTGAGTTCAGCTAATCCTCTATGCCATATACCAGTCTCTCAGAAATAATCGTTGAACTAAAAACGTAAGCCGCATTTAGCAGGCTGAGGACTTTCATAGTTTATATCGAGTTTATACATGAATAAAAACACGGCGTCGCGAAACAAAAAGATTTATAAATATTGTCTGGCAAGCGAAATAAAAACGTAGTTTCGCGGTGCCAATTATTCTGAATTCGTGTCTTATTTTTTCCCATTAGAGTGGTTTTCCGTCAACCATGAAAGGAAATAGACCAACTAGCTAGTAGCAATTAGTAATAGACTAGTCAATATAACTTTTAG